AGCGGAAAACATCGCGAACGAAAACGTCGTGGAGAAAACAAAGCAAAGCGAAAACGTCGTGGTATAAAACATCTTGGGAGAAAGCAAAGAGAACACATAAAGCAATCAGAATAAACATAAATGAAGAATAAACACAAATCTAAGCAAAGAGAATAATTTTTCCAAAAAGCAAAGAAAACCATCGCAGTTCTAAAACATCGTGTCACCAAACATTGCGGTCGAAAGTAATGCGGTTCAAAAACTTCACAGTTTAAAAACATCGTCGTCGAAAATATCGTGTAAAAATAGAGTAGTATACCTACAAAATCCATGACGCTAAATCGCAAGTATTTTCAGATTTTAAAAGCTGTAAATGAATATGCCTAAAGATTTGGGAAGCGCAAGAAGCAAAGAGGGATATTTTCACTTCTTCACATTTTATCTTTTTGAATGAACTAATAAAATTTTGCTGCAAAAGTAAGAAGGACTTAAGCATTTAAATTGACGAAGAGAAATAATAAATAAGTAAAGGTAGAATTAATGCCTTAACACTTAATAGAATTTTAAATTTACATAGTTAATTAAAAAAGCTCATTGATAAATTAATGACCTCTTAAGCAGATAGCCCCAGTGTGCTTTGGTATAATCCAATAAATCTAAATCCCATACTAACATAGTATGTCGGACGAGGTGATTTGGTATAATCCAATAAATCTAAATTCCATACTAACATAGTATGTAACTGATTTTAGTCATAACTAACAAATCAACATCCAAATAATTCATTGCACACTATACATGAAAATGCGACACTTTAAGAATAAACGGAAACAAAACAAGATATAATATTCGCTAAAAACAATATCAGATTAACAAACGTGAAAGAAAATAATTTGATAATTAACCAAACGATTTTATATAGGTAAGCTTATGCAGTTATTTATCTTTCTTTTTCAAAACACTTTTAGACTGCATTTTTCATGAAACATTTTGAGTAAATCTTTATAAACAAGATTAATTTATCAATGATATTTGTTTATTAACTATGTATATTTAAAATTCTATTAGGTGCTATAAGTTGCATTAATTTTCTACTCATTTTCAATTTTTAAATGCTTAAGTTTCTTTCTTAGTTTTTCACCAAAAATTTATTAGTTCATTCAAAAATATGAAATATGGAAGTAAAAATATCCCTCTTTCCTTCTTGCGTTCCCAAAGCATTAAGCGAAAATGCATTTACAACTTTTCAAACCTGAAAAACACATATATGCTATGTTACCTTCATGCGATGATTCGTAGGCAATTTATTTTTACCACGATATTTTCGAACACGATGTTTTCAAATTGCGAAGTTTTCGAACCGCTTTATTTTCCACCACGATATTTTGTACCACGATGTTTAGAACTGATATGTTTTCTCTTTATTTGCTCCCACGATGTTTTGTGCCACGACGTTTTCGCCTTGCGTTGTTTTCTTCGTGACGTTTTCGTCCGTGATGTTTTGGCGGACATCCCTTTGTACGGGAACGGCTCTTTTTCAAAAGTGAAAATTAATAAGAAACTGAACTGATAAATAAGCATCTACAGTTCATGCTAAAGATGATTCTCGTAATTTTCCTCTAAGGTTACAAACTTTATGAGAATCGAAACGCTCTCAAATGGCGAACTATAGTAACATTTAAAAAGTTTATAATTATTTACACACAAAGATATGCATTTTTTACTTACGTGTCTAAGAAAAATTTAGTAAATCAGAGAAAGAAGCTAGGTTGTCATTATTTATTCTCATATTTTGTCCCACACGGCAAATTTTCTCTGAAATCTTATAAAGGTTTCATAATTTGTTTATTTTAAATTTAAAGTAAAGTAACTTAGTTTAAATTAAAGTATGTTTAGGCTAGTACAAAAGCTTTTGTTACAGAAATTCCTTTGATTGTTATTGCTGCTCCGGTGAGCATAAGAGTTTAGAATTACATAAAAAAAAAAAAAAGAGTGCAAAGGGTGTGTTTGTGTTAATTGCAGAAGATTCAACAGAAAAACGAAAAATGCAACTCAGAAAGTTGATTTAAATCACAAGCCGTTTTTTGGAACTTGCCCCAGCCATATTTTTAAGGAGAATTTTGCGGTTTCAAAAAGATTTATTATGGGTAAGCCTGTAAATTCACCTACTTTTGTACGAATTAATTTACAGAAGTCTAAATGTGCTACTCAGTAAATTATTTTATATTAATGGAGGCAAATGATATAGACGGAGGCTCGAGTTACATCGAATTTACACTTTCTAGCTTGGGTGTCATACATTACTGTTGTACATTTAAGGTTCGAATATCCCCGAGGAAAATTCTCTTTCTGATCATAAAATGATTATTTTTTAATGTGCTTCAGGTTTTGCGAATATATACTCTTATTCAAGTACTTCTAATTTAAAAACAGCGAACTGGTTTTGATTAACAGAACTTTGTAAGAATACCCTTATACTAATATTTGAATACCATTTTTGATAGTTACTCTAACTGGATTGCATTATAAAATGCTATAAACAGTCTTTCTACTATTATTTTTAATTGTGCTTCAATTCTGAAGAATAAAAATATGAAGAATGATGTGCTCCTTGGTGGCATAAAGAATTTGCTTACTACAGGAAACATGTAAATATTGCTAGACGTAGATTCCAGAAAGAAAGAAACAATAAAGATATACATAAAATTAAATATTTTGAGTTGCGACATAATTAGTATAAAGCTAAATTAGCAGAATCCAAACTTAACTCGTGGAAACATTTTCTCGAAACTATTAATGTTCACAATGTCTGGGATAAGATATACGAGTATGGGGTTAAGACCAATTTTGCGAAGAGCAGTGAGATTTCAAGGATTAAACTCCCGGATGTTAAGTGTTACTTCGTCACTGAGTGATAGTACCTCTGATATTAGCACAAACAGTTTTCTAAGTAATAATGTGTGCGATGATAAGAATTCTCATAGAGCTATGCGTACTGAGTCAGACGGGCTATATATTTCATTTATTGACTGTCAGTTCTCTACTTCAGAAGTTAACAGGGTATTAAAAATCTCAAGAAGTTCAAATCAGCTGGGTCAAACTGTCTTTCATATGAAATTATACAGTAATTTCATACGGCGGGTAAAATTTTTTTTGCACAGACCTTTCAATCTTTGTCTATCGTTAGGATGCATTGGGACACAATGGAAGATAGCTCGGCTTGTTTTGATCCCTAAAACTTTAAATGAAATCTTATCTTGACAGTATTAGATGCATTTTGAAGAGCAATCTCAGGTTTGCTATTTTAAGCATCTCACTAAAAATGAATGCAGAGTTTTTCAAGCAAAACTTCTCTATATTTATCTTGCCATCAAGTAGATCACGGATTCGTTTTGCTCATCTGCGTGGTCATCATAGAATCTGTAAAAATGAAAGAGCTGGTTTCTTAGCTAAAGATCCTTCTTAGCCATCGACATCAGTAGTAGCATTCCATTTCATTACTAGAAACCCTTTTAATATAAGAAGTTTTCATATAAGTGAAGCATCTTGTAATGCTGATTTGCACGAAAAAGTTCTTTCCTTCTATTAAGACTTCTATTAGACTGCATTCCGAGTCTTTCTTGTTTCCTACTTTTAAAGCATCTCAGTTTTTATCTGTCTACAGTAAATTTGAAAGTTACCTGTTTCGTTTTAATCTAAGATCAAATAACTTTTTATGTAAGAGAAAGAAGTACCTCAAAATGTAGACGATTTGATTTTTTCCTGTCCTACCTTCTACGGTCCTAGATTATGCCTGCAGAATGATTTAAAAAAGATTGGTGAGACTTTGTCAGTCAATTTATCTGTGTTTGTAAAGTATAGACTGCTGTTCTCTGTTCTTGTTTCTTTTATTAATGCATGCAATATTGAATGTTTTAATTAATTTTGTAAGCTCCATGTTGGACATTTGCAGCTCACGAGGACATTCTATGTGTTCAAAATGAAAAAAAAAATGAAGTAAGTTAATGATTAATTAAATATATCAAAATTATTTGAAATAAATGTTAGTCTGAACTATTAATATTATTTATCAGTCAATATGGTTGAATTACAAAATGTAACCAATAAAAATGTCTAGCAAGTAAGAAACTTTAGATTTGGAATAGAAAATAAGTATAAAGTTGAATTTTTTTCAATATTCTTCTTCTTCTTTACGTAAGATTTGATATCTATTTAGTAAGCGAAATTTAAAATTCATTTAAAATATTTTTTATTTTGTCAATAAAATTCTTCATATTGTTCACAAATAATCTGATCCGTCAGCTGTTTTCAGATCGTGCATACGGCTCCCATGCAATTTCAGTTCGATGAAATGTTTGATGGCGATAATTTCCGTTATACGCGTTAAAGAAATTCTTATAATCAACATTTCAATCGTATATAACTAATATACCTTTATGAATTCCACAAGAAGCTTGACCAGTTTATACAGCTACAGTTTTTGACATGTTGTGTATTTAACACAGCTAAAATGACAATAAATAGTATGTAAATAAGGAACTTCAAAACCAGATTCAGAAGTTTTTGGCGCTAAAAGGAAATAATTTTACTATTTATTACACTGATAATGAATGTTAAACATACAATATTTCCTCTTTTTACTATACTAAACAATCGATCATTTCTCTAAGTACCAGGAAAATGCATTCGTAAGTTAATTTCTTTCGCTTGTAGTAAATGCATTCATTACCATTTCAAATCATGGGAAAATATTTTTGTTCTTCTACTGTCATAAATGTTCATGAATTATGACGTAGAAAAAGAAAGTATTTTTCGGGCTGTAAAATTGTCAGTACATTTATTTACTTGTAATATATGCAAAGCAATGATTGAATTCCATGTAACGCATATTTCCCATTACTTCCCATTAGAAATAAAATACTTTGCTCGACTCTAGTAGTTATTCAGAAAGTATTTAAATCACATTTTCACTTATGTATACGATCAATGAATGTTTAAGCTTAGTAAAAGAACTAACTTACCAAAACCACCTAGATTTTCAACTGGGTCGCTGTACTGGAGGTGGAAAGTGACAGCGGGCCAGTTGTGTCCCCACCGACTAAGAATATCCATCATGCATGTGTCCTCCGGCACAATATGCTCTGGGAAAACAAAACAATTAAATATTACAGTTCTTTGCTATAAATAAAGTACTACCTCTTTCCAAACTATATACAATGACAAAAAAATACAGAGGATGTTTGCACATTTTTAGGACAGCTTCGATACAGAATGTAAACAGATCAAATGTTTTAGAACAAAATTTCTGGCAAACGCTTATTATTTGAAATGAGAAATATCGTCTGCTATTTTGAAATTTATTCTTCTTTCAAAATGTCACGTGTAAATAAGGAATGACGGACGTCTTTTTGCGCTTTCTATACAGAAATATTCCTGTTCCATAATTCAGAAACATTGCGAAATGTACGTAATTAAAATTTCTATATGAAAAATAAGTAACATTATTAATCGAAAAGAGAAAAACCCGGAATCATTACTTCTTCCAGAAAAGAAAACTCCAAACGCAAAAAAAAAAAAAAAAAAAAAAAAAAAAAAAAAAACTCGAAAAAAGTACGTACGGTCTCTAATGTTTTTAAGTTAGAAAGTTGCTATTAAGAAAAAATACATCGATACAGACATTAATTGCAAAGATTTTAAATACATCTGCAGCAAAAATAAATAAAATAATAAACTAGAAATTGCAACTTAAAAAAAGCTAAAAAGCATTATTGTTTATCAACTTTTTACCAAGACATGTGGCTCAACGCAGAACAGTTCGGAAAATACTGTAAGAAAACAATTTAACAGGAAATAAGTGAAAATATATTGCCATCCTTGATGAAATATAGGTTTACTTAAATGACTGCAACAAAAAAATTCTGTTTATTACCGAAAACGAAGAGAAAAAAATGGACAAAGCTGGTGCCGCCAATGGGAAAGAAAGTCTCAGTAAAGCGTTTATGATTATCGCAAGAAATTGAAATAGGAAGAGTGGGAAAAAATCCTAAAATCAACTCAACATACTATCAACAGAAATTTTTACGTTCGATATTTACAGAAAAATTTCTATTTCTTTATCCCATTGCATTTCAAAGACTGAAACGTCATCAAGACAAAGCAACAAGTCATACATCGAAAAGTACCTTGAAAAAATGAAGACTGATACAGGTATTGCATATGTACCCTTTCAACCTATTCTCGCAAAGTCCCATGAGGTTTCACCTACGGAATATTGTGCCTTTGGTTTCTTGAAAACAGCTAAGCACAAACCCACTTGATGGATGGGTTTTGGAAGAGGAATAAAAATCAATACTCCCGGAAATTTTACGAAAAGCATTTCTATCACAGAAATTACGAAGCAGGCTTACAAGCAAGGAAAAAATAGGGGGGGAGGAACTATTCGATCTAATATTTAAAAAAATACTGCTTATATTTCAAACATTAAGAAAACGGCCCCGAAATCATTCTAAAAGTAAGTAAACCAGGTTTTTGTATTTCTGTCTATGATAATCTGATGTTTCTGCTATTTAAATTCTCAGACATGCTTTAAATTTTCGATTGAAGTTAGACCTACATAAGCCGCTTGCATTAATACGAAAGTGATTATAGGCAATTTCAGTGATTATGGTAGTGGCGAATAAGAAAAGATTTCTACCTTAGAAATTAAAAGAGACACGAGTAAATTTTCAAAGTGGAGCATGACATACACATAGCCAATAAAAATGAAGAACTGGAAAGTTGCTGAGTAAGTAAATATTCTGTTTACCAAGGAATTACGTTTACCCGAATAACAGCTGAAGCAAAATGGTAAGAAACGCATGATTCTGACAATCTGGTCTCCTCTCCGATTCTTAGGCGTTGAACTTGCGGATATGGATATACTGTAATAACCTCATCGGAGAGCACAAACTTTTCACAATAATCGCGTTCTGCGTCCTTCTCATCTTATTTAGCGAGAACACAAGAAAAGTGAAAGAAATATTTTTCCATTTCTTTTCCGTGTTTCTTGAAAGTGCTGTTATGTAGTCACATTACCGCTACCTAATAAATCAATTATTGAACTCTTATATCTTTTATGTCATAAATGGAATAAAGAAGATGATTCCGTAATTTTTATCGAACTTTAATTATTTACTCCAGTGGTCTCAAACTGGCGGCCCGTGTCGGAAGCATGCGGCCTACGAAATATTTTTATGAGATACGCAAATACATTTCAGTTATGCATTTGTTGCAAAGATTTTAAGATTTTAACTATTTGGAGTTCTAGTTTACATTATTTTCATAATCATCCAAAGTGAATTTGAAACGTCTACAAACTGGTCTCATTAATTTACACTGTGATATAAATTTTATTCAAAGATTTCAAGCTACATATTTGATTAACGTTTATTCGTACTTGCCAAAAAATAAGTATGCTTGTAGGGTTTTTCTTAATTTGCATAACAAATTTATTTTAAGTTTACCTGTTCTCAACTTCTCAAACTTCCCCTCACATTCTCTCGCCAGGAGGATGTAAATTTTAAGTTAAGTGAAGTGCTATTTAAACGTGTGATACAGAGCGTGTTTCGCTAGCCTAGCGCACGTTTCGTTGTTATTTTCGCGGTAACTCGAGTTAGGCCCTTTGGCCGTTTTCAGTTTAGTATCACGCCGGTTAGATCTCTATGAGTCCATCTCTTAGGAGAAATTTTGAAGTGCGTTCTTGCACTCGTTTTATTTTTTAGATTTGATTTTGTATTCTCGTCTACGTTTAAGTTATCGCCGCAAGTGAACTGTGTTTTGGTAAAGCACGAAGTCTGTGCTGTCTGTTAATTTAGTGTGAGTTAACAAAGGGTTATTTTCGCCCTTCTTCTGTGCTGGTATTTATTTCACGCCTGTGCGAGAATTCGCCAGGTTCATCGTAGGATCTAAGTTAATGCATGTGGACAGTTAGAGATAGATCTTACAAGTGGGCCCGACTAAAAGGGTGTGGATGATGATTCTCCACACCCAGGATTTGGCGACTAGATGCCCTAAAACCTTAGTGGCCCTTTAAAAAGAGGTGTATATAAGGTATTTCTTCCACTTTCCTAGCGTCCTCCGTGGTGTAGTGGTTCTACACGCTGGGCTGGTATTCCAGAGGTCCGTGGTTGGAGTCCCGGTGAAGGCGGTTGCTAATTTTTCATCTCTCTGGCTTCCAAAAAATCCTAATGTCTCTACGTGCTCAGTTACGAATTTTTGCACTACGAATACTCGCTTTATTTGGGAATAAATACGTGAAAAACTCTTCTCACAGTTGAACATTAATAAGAAAAGAATCCGACTGAGCCATAAGCATCTTCATTCTATGATGAAGATAATATTATATATCCATATTTATAAATATTTACATATAAAAATATAAGGTATTTTCTCCCTTTCTGTCTTAGTGGTGTAACGATAGCAGACTTGGCGTGTATTAAAGAACTCCAAGTCCGAGTCCCGGCGAGGGAATTGCTCATTTTTCACGTCTCCAGCATCAAAATAACCTAATAACTCTACAGTGGCGCCCGAACTAAAAGGTAGTGGATGATGATTCTTACCATTAGGATTTGGCGATTAGGTTCCCAAAACCCCAGTCGCCCTTTAAAAGGGAGAGTATATGAAGTGTTTTCTCCCTTCTTTTTTCTCCCTTCGTAGTGTAACGGTAGCACACTTGGCGCGTATTCGAGAGGTCCAGGTTCGAGTTTCGGGAAGGGTCTGATCATTTTTCTCGTTTCCAGCATCAAAATAACCTAATGACTCTATACTATGAGATATAGAATATTGAAGAATCATAAAAAATATGAAAGTTATAGCAAATATAAACATCAACGTGATTATGTTGAATATATACATAAACGTGATTATACTGAATTAAAGCGGGAGAAATGAATACAGTAAAAAAAAAGACATTTTAGGGAAATGTTTCTGTAATCAATGAAATACATACATATAGAAACTCTACAAACTACTACATACTCTACTAGCATATATAGAAAACTTTAATAAAAAGAGAAAGGAACTAAATTGCCACATTTTTATTCAGAAGTTTTCATAATTTGTTCTTTTAATTTAACAGTTTAAATATTTAGCTGTCAGTATATCTGAATTATGAGCATCTTATATGATCATCCGACATGATTGTCTTATATGTATAAAACTTATAGTGTTCAAATGTTTCTTTGCGATACATTTATTCATATTTATGCATATTTTGATAAATATTTATACGTTTTATCGTGCATTAGGCCCGTATGCAATTTGAATTTGAGACCACCGGCTTACTCCCTACCAGACGTTTATAGATAAATAACTATTAGTTTATTAAACGTTTTATTATATTTCCACGAGCGCTTTTTTATTATGTTGAAATATATCAGAATCAAAGCAACACAGTTGGATAACTGTGGTTTTTCTTTTACTTCATTTCCAACGCTTAAGTACATGTCATGAACACATCACAAGTAGGAGCAGATTTATGGGGTCGCGCATGTTGCAATTGCGAGGAGCCTCGTATGCCAAGGGGCATCCAGTTATTAATCAATATTTTTAAAAACACTACAGATACCTGTCTCTTAAGACAAAGAAACCTTTAAACGCTGAAGTGAGAAAGAAATCACGTACTCCACCACTACTACCACCGTAATTGACTGCATTTTTTTTTACTTCCTTCCACGAAGTAAAAGAAGTATTGTAAAAGAAGAAAATTTGTGGTATCATATTTCAACGGAAATATCCATTTTGAGGGTTTTCGAATCCATTCTGACTATTTTTGTGCATGACGTTTGTATATACGGACAGAATAGCATTCACAAAATGCATTAAAATGGATTTTTTTCGTGAAATCTCGCATAATTCAAAAAAACCAATTAGAATTGTATATGTTGAAACGCAGAATGTTGAAATTTTGTATATGGGACTGCTATAATATCTAGTTGTGACCCTCCCTTTTTTTATAGCAGCCGGCTGTACCGAAAAGAGTGGGTATATATATATCCTTGTATAAAAGTGTGTACTATAAAGTGGTGACTTACTAGGCATAAAAGTCCTCACCTGGCCTTTGTTTTCCGCAATCATTGGTCGTAGTATACACTTCCAGTTACAG